GGTGCTGCCTGAGTGCTGAGGAGTGGAGGGCACGTGAATTCACAGCTGTGCATTGGGATAGACAGAGATAAGAGTAATTCCCCCATGCTCCTGGTTTTGCCCCAGGAATATTGGGCTCTGGGACTGGTTGAGCTGTTGGGGATGTTCTGTGTGCGGGCAGAAAGCCCATTTACCATCCCTTGTGCCTTTGAGCTGGAAGGTTGTTCAGTCAGGCACAGTGTTTGAGGAAAGGAGAAAGGGGTAGGATAGGGTTGAGCAAACAGTCTGGTCTGGAGCATGAGTCTGATGAGGAGAAGCTGAAGGAACTGGAGGTGCTGTAGCGTGGAGTAAAGGAGTCCCGGGGGGCCCTTATTCCTTTCTATAACAACCCTAAAAGAGGTTGTATCCAGGTGAGGGTCAGTCTCTTATCCCATGAAACAAGTGATAGGACAAGAAGGAACAGCCTCAAATTGCACCAGAGGAGGTTTAGATTGGATATTAGGGAAAATTTCTTTACTGAAAGGATGGTCAGGCACTGGAACAGGCTGCCCAGGAAAGTGATGGAATCACCATCCCTGGAAGTGTTCAGAAAACATGTAGATGTGATGCTCAGGGCCTGTACTCAGTGCTGGTGAGGCCACACCTTAAGTGCTGTGTCCAGTTCTGGGCCCTCAGTTCAGGAAGGACATTGAGGGGCTGGAGCAGGTCCAGAGAAGAGCAACGAGGCTGATGAAGGGACTCAAGCACAAGTCCTATGAGGAGAGGCTGAGGGAGCTGGGGATGTTTAGCCTGGAGAAGAGGAGGCTCAGGGGAGACCTCCTCACTCTCTACAACACCCTGTGACAGGAGGTTGTAGCCAGGTGGGGGTTGGTCTCTTCTCCCAGGCAGTAATCAGCAAGACAAGAGGGCATGGTCTTAAGCTCTGCCAGGGGAGGTTTAGGTTAGATATTAGGAAGAAGTTCTTTACAGAGAGGGTAATCAGGCATTGGAATGGGCTGCCCAGGGAAGTGGTGGATTCTCCGTCCCTGGAGGTTTTTAAGAGACTGGATGTGGCACTTAGTGCCATAGTCTAGTAACCATGGTGGTAGTGGATCAAGGGTTGGACCTGATGATCTCAGAGATCCCTTCCAACCTGGCTGATTCTATGATTCTGTGGTTTAGTAGTGGACTCAGCAGTCCTGGGTTAAGGGTTGGACTCAGTCTTGGAGGTCTTTTTCAACCTTGATGATTCAATGATTCTAATCAGTCAAGCCATGAATGTTACCCATGCAAACTGCTGGCTGGTGTTGGGTTTCAGCTCTTCTGCAGTCAGTGCAGCCACTGCCTGAGTAAAATCCAGCCTTTCTCCTCTCCCAGATGATGTGGCTAGAGGATGCCTGCACATGGCTTCATCTGCATCATGCAGACACTCTGGGCTGGTGGCAGTTGGCTCAAAACAGCCCGTGGTAGCTTCAAGTGTGGAATTGGCTCCTGAGAGTGAGGTGTCCCTGGGGGCAAAGGGCAGCCTTCTGGTCCTGCAGCAAACTGAGCTTTCTTACCTTGAGAGGTACCTGTGAGAGGGGTCAGTGCTGTTTTGGCTCCCACAGTCCAGACTGGGCCAGGAGCCTCTGTGCCAGGTAGAAATAAGGTGCTACCAGGTTGAGGACATCACTTCTAAGCTTGCTGGCCATGGCTGAAGCTAACCCTGTAGCTCTGCTTGCTCTTCTAGCTGAGCTCTGGAGATGACGAGCAGCTAGGGGCCTGGGAAAAGGTCTACATGTGGTACAGCTGTTCACAAAATATGTGGCCTTGGTTTTTTACATCTCCACTGAGGCTGTAGCCTGGCCTGAACATCCGTGTCTATGTGTGAGTCCTGTCCCATAGGGAACAGAGCCTTTAGCTGCCTGTTCTGCTGTTCAGGAGGGGTTGGGTCACCACATCATCATGGTGTCTGTGCCCAGATCTTTTTGTCTGCTGTTGGAAAGATGGTCTGGATGACCCTGAGACCTTACCCATCTGCCAGAGAGGATTGGATCTGGCAGCAGACCCCTCCAGGGGTGCTTGATCCCTTCGGCAAGCAGCATTGAGAAGATATGAGAACTTTTGCTCCATCAATATCTGTCTGTTCTCCTTTCTAGGTGTTGCTCTCTCCAGACATGGATTTTGATCAGTCTGAAAGCGACCAGGACACCTCAGGACTCCATGGAACCAACCAGAAGATGAAGCAGCCCAGCTATCAAGTGGTCATCTGACAACACTGGGACAAGGGAGGTGGAGGAAGGAGCAACACTGTGATCCTTGGGCTGGCCAAGGAAGGGCAGGGTGGGGAATGCTAGTTGATCCCTGTGGATCTGCAGAGATCCTTTTGCCTGCCTCGTCTAGACCTGTCCTGCAGTTGTTTGTGGGATGTTATCCGTGCATCCTGTACAGGCTTGAGCAGTATCTGCTTTCCCTGTGTTCCCCTAATCTGTACACACGCAGGCATGTTGAGGTTGGGGTATGAGTATGTACTTTTCCTGGCTGGCCAGCTGGGTGTGTGACTTTTTTTTGTCAAGGCTAGAGAAAGAAATCAAGATTGTTTGCTTTTTTATAGAAAAAGAAAAAAAAAAGACTATTCTCTGCTACCTGAACTGTGACACTTTTTATATGCACAATACTCAAAAGAATTGGTTTGCAATATGTATTTAAATGTCTTGAATTGGGAAGATTGTCTCAGTGGATCTGATTATTTTTTACTGTTTTATAAGGAATACAATAAATATTTGACCTAAAATTGCCTCATAAATGAAATGACTTCATGTGCTCAATATTCTCTGCAAAACCCTAATGCTGTGCAGAGGAGGAAGGGGGGGGGCTGTTGAAATCTTTCCTGACCAGGGAGGATTATCTTTCTGCAGCAGGGCTGTCCTAGTAAAGCTGCAGATGAAGAGCTGAGCCACAGTGCTTGGTTTCTGTGGATGAAACCAGCTGATTCAGTGGAAAGACCTGGTGCATCAACAGACCTGGATGTGGATCCCAGTTGCCACCTTACAAGTGAGTGTTTACTGAAAGTTGGCTCCTTTTTACCTGGTGTAAAATAAACATATGAAATCTCTGCAGGACCCGATTCAAACTGGATGTGCACTGTTAACTGAAGCCCCATTAGCCAGCCCTGATTTTCTGGAGGTAAGGGAATGGCCTTGGATAGGACTGCTGCAGGAGAAGACCCTGGGTCATCCCAGGTCTGGCACTTTTTGTTTCAAGTGTGAAGTGCAGGGCTTTGCCCTTCCTCTCCTGTTAATGTACTGTATTTGTCTGTAAACACAAAAATGCAAAACACTTTGCAGCTGTCCTGGGGAGGGAGTGAGCACAGAGCAGCTGCATAAGCCACCCCCAGGCTGGGTGCAGATACACAGCTGTGGTGAGACCCACACAGAGTCTGAAGGGTGGATATTCCTCAGAGCAGGGCCTGACCCAGGATCCACAGAACTGAACCTGCTATCCCTAGTTGAGCCATAGACAGCTTTGCTTATTGCAAGGCAGTCCCCATAAGGGATGGGTGGGATTGATCTTTTATTTTCTCTTCTTCCTTTGCATTTGCCCAAGAAAACACTCCTTATTAAGGAGTAGAAATTAAAGGATTTGAGTTTTCTAACTTAGACGGATTTAGACTTTTAAAGGCTGAGCTCAAGCATGTGAAGATATTTGGTGGGGATTTTTTGGGGTTTGGTTTGTTGTTTTTTTTTTTTTTCCTTAACTTCAAAGTAGTTTAGAATCCTTAGATGCAAATCAAAGCCTTGCATGCCCTTCAGTGAACTAGACACGCTTGGCTGCACTTGCAGCTGTGCAGCTTTATACTGGTTTTCTGGAAATTAAGTTCTTTTTGTTTTTCTTTCTTAATGAAGGGTCAAAATCCTACTTTTGCTGGCACATCAAAAGGTTTTTGGAACACATGGCACACAGCCCTCTGAATAGATCATTTATATTGCTTAGTGAAATTGGTTTCACAGTGCAACTTCTGCTTGTCTGGGGAGTTCTGCACTGCTAAGGGCTGGAGTAAGTCCTGTGCTGTGTCAAGTCTTGACTGGAAATAGATTAAAACAGCTTCCCTATTTGAAAGTTGCTCTGTTTTGAGGTGTACTGGTATTTGGGGATTTGTTCTTGCTATAGGGCTGCACAGTGCAATGCTGCAGCACATGGAGAGTGCAGATTTGGCCACAGCCAAGTCCTTGTCCTAAAAAAGAGGTGAGTGACATGATCTTCATCTTAGTCCTTAGTTCAGGCTGCCTGAGAAAGTTCACAGTAGGCAATAGCAAGGAAGATGGGAAAGGTGGTCCCTCTCAAGCATGGTGTAGTCACTGCTGTTTCAGCAACCCTAAGTTCAGGAGCCCTGTTCCCTTCTCTGAAATGATGGTGTGCAGTTGTTTCCATTGCACTGCAAAGTGGTTGCTCAGCCTCATTCCTGAGCTGTCTGAGCAATGTGCAATCTGTGGCTGTGTCACTGCAAAACCAAGTGCTCTGTGACACTGTTGGAGATGAGAACAAATGCATGTCTGTATGTGCAGCGGGAGCACAAACTGTTTTCCCATGTCCTAGGCTACTGTATTTAAAGGCTGGATCAGTCTATGTGGTTAAATTCTTATTTTACTTCACCCAACACACTTGTTGCTTTCTGCCAAGTATATGGAGGCTGAAAAACATCATTGACCTCTAATTTTCCATTGAAATTACTTTGGCTCCCAACCTATTGTGAGTGATTCTTTCAGCCATCTGGAAACACGAGCCTGTCCAGCAGCATAAAACATACATAACCTCAGCTTCAGAATTCTTTTGTCTTTGCCAAATGAAAGCGTCACTGCAGCATTCACTGTAAAATATTTATTGTGAAATGGATAACTGGAGCCTTAATTAGAACTTGAGTATATTGCTCCAGGTGCTTCAGATTGCTGAGAAGTTGGACTTGATCATTGTTATCTTCAGGCCCTGAAAGAAATATGTTTCCTTGGCAAGAGGAGGAGGAGTAAAGGTGCACCTGAATCATTAACAATAAGTGTGTGTGTGTGTGTATATATATATATTATATACATATCTATATACAGGAGAGGAGAGCCCAAGCCAACTGCTCCCCTTAGCAATATGACTGAACAGCAAAATGTGGGAGGAAAGATTTCAAAGAAATCTCTTTTCAGTAAGGATAGTATGAAGACACCTGGTGAACCCTGGACTGTATAGAAATTCATTGCCACTATCCTGTTCTCCCCTGCCAGTGGAATGGGAGGTTGGTTGGATATGGGCTGTAGGTGATCTTCCTGCTGTCTTCTTGGGTGGAAAAGTCAACTTCACAGATGTTCTTTCTCATCTCATTTCTGGCCCATGAGCCCACTGCAGAGCATTAAACATCTTTCATTATTCCACACTCAGGACTGCACTGAAGGTCTTGCCTTCGATTCTCCCTTGCAGGAGAGCTATTTCTCAAAATAGCAGGGCCCAAAGCAGTAGTTTTTTTTCCTTTATGTTTTGTTCCAAAGTACGAGCCTTGGCATGAGTTTTGTACTGTAAGGATCTTCCAGAGTGCAATTAAATCTTGCTGGTTGCTTTTGGCTGTTTCCCTCTTCCAGGCAGGACATGGTGTGAATAAGAAACCATGCTTGCCACCTGCTCTGCTGCCACGGTCTAGTAGCACTAACTAGTTGCTCAAGCAACTGGAAAATCACCACCCCACCCCCAGCAGCTGGATCTCCTACAGCAACACTAGGGTTTAATTGTTAAATATGCAAAAAAATCAGTCAAGATTGAATCTATTTCTGCAGGTCTCTGGCAACTCTGTTTTCTCCTAACACATGGATATAATTTAATTTCTGGAGCTGCTTCTACACCCTCCCTCCTTCCTTTCAGTTCTGGAAAGGCAGAGCATACATAAGCTCAGTTTGGCCTTGCCATGTAAATGTCTTTGTGGTTGTCAAGTCCTCTTTGGACAAGTTCTCTACTAGAATGCCCCTGTGACTGATCTATAGCATTGCTCAGTGATGCCTCACTTTAAAATAGACCACAGGCTTGCAGTTTGGGTCTGGAGGTTTCTTTGCAGAGCAGCACCACCTGCAGTGGGGGTGGCTGGCAGACCCTTCTGTAACCTCCTGCTGCCAAATTCCTGCTGCGTGCAAATTCCTGCAGCGTAAGGGAGGAGAAAGGAGCCAGGGATGAATTTTCTTTTTTTTACAATTTGGAATAAATAAAGACTTCCTCCATGATTAGAAAAGCAGCTAGAAACATCTAGTCTAAATTGAAGAGTCTGCTTTTGTAGGCTCATAGGCTGTTGTGGGTTCTGGTTCATCATCCCTTGGAGAATGTAAATCTTTGCTAAACAGAAGTGATGAGATCCTCAAGGACGTGGCAGGTCTGTTGGAAGCTCATAGTGGAACTTTGTTTCTCTCTGAGGGAGTCAAGACTCAAGAAATCACTAATCCTGCAATGATATTTAAACTGAATTACGTTGAATTAGCTGCTCCATGGAATGGGAGCCTGTTGCTGCTGAAGACTGGAGGTGCTTTTTAAGCACTCAGGCTGTGCCCTGAGACAGCAATAAACCACATGAAGGTTTTCACCACTGTTTTAAGAGTCTGTAGTGATTCAGGGAAACTTATGCTCAGTGATAAATCCAGACCTCCTCCCAATAACCAGGAAAGCAATACCCTTCTGTGGCCTGTTGATTTAAGGCTTTGGTTTTGTTACCTGTTTGATGCTAGGGAGTCACTGCAGATGAATATCCACCCACCTCTTCTCTCTCTCTCTTCTTTCCCCAAGGACCAAGGTTGGAGCAGGTACTCCAAGTCACTTCTGTGCAAAGCATATCACCTCAATAGGCACTGCTGTATGACCTCTGCCTCTCAGGAGGTGACTCACCAGCCTCTTGGGTGAATTGCACAGATCCCTGCATGGGTTTACTCAAAGGTCAGCAGCTCTCTACTCTGTCCAGTATGAGTGCTGGCCCATTTCTCCCTCCCTTCCCACTGGGAGATCACCAGTCATGCCTTTAACCATGTCCTCAACCCTCCCCCCCAACCTCCTTGTTCTTCAGGAATTTGATGAACAGTGTTCATCTAGCATGAAAAAGAGACAGCTGATTTCCAAGGGCAGAGTCCTTAGTTTCTTTGGCACCAAAAAGTAAAGAAATATTCATTAAGTGGCCTACTAGAGGCTTCAGAAGGGACCTGCTGTCACACATCCTGCTGCAATGCATTGTTAGGACTGGTCTTAAAGGCTGTTAGTTGTCCCAAAGCTGGTCCCTGTGTCGAAAGGGTGAGAAGCCAAATAGTCCTTATAGCTCCCATCAATCAGTTTGTCCGCATTGTTTTTGGCAAACCAACATTCAACCTCCTGCTGGCCATTGTAGATCCTCCTCTGCTTCCACACCACAGGAATGAGCCGTCCCTTCACCTTCAGGGTATTTGTAGGGTTTGGCTTTAACGCTTCAGTGTGATTCTGACCAACCTGCTGATGACTTGCGTTTAGAGATTCCTGAAGAAGTTTAACTTCGTGGTTCAAGAACTGACCTGCAAGGCAAGATAAAATAAGAGTCCATGACTGGCTGATTTGTGCCTGTTGTGGTTTGGTGGTTTGTTTTTTCAGTAGGCTGTGTTTGAGGATTCTTAGCAAATGGGGTTCTAAAGGGCTTCTCCACAACAGCAGGATGAAGCTAGTTCCCGTGATTCTTTTCTAAATCCCACAAACACAGAAGTTAGAATAAACCCCTTTTTCTTTCACTGGTCTAGATACATTGCCTGAGCTAAAGAGCTTTTATAGCTGCTAGTAGTAAGTGCCCTTCTGTGGGACATGGTTGCTAGAGGTTAATAACCCATGCAGTGCCCATCAGCAAGCAGGAATATCTAGGCCTGAAGCTCCAGCTTCTCTTCCCTTGCCTTCTTGGCAAGAGTGTGGATTTAGAGGTTTGTGCATGAAAGTGGCCTGAATCCAAAACCTCACTCCTGAGGGATCATCTCCCGCTTTACCTGGGGGGACCTGAGAGGCACAGAAACTGTGGCATCAGTCTTGGAGTTCTGGGCCTGTACATGACCATAAATATCAATACATCTTGTTGGCTGAAAGAACCCAACCATCTGGTCATTCTCTGAGCGTATGTGAAGCCTAGTTCCTGAAAAATATAGGGATGGCTCATTTCCCTTACATTTGAAAGAAAGGGGCCACAAGAAGTTCTTCTGGAATATTTGGTTTCTGTCTCTGTATTGGGAGCATCAAGCATGTGTGTTCTAAGAACAGCTCTATCAAACAATCATAAAAAGAGTAGAAAAGTAAAAAACAGGCACAGCCATATAGCTGGATAGTGGGAGATAGATCATACAGGAAAAGATGGGGAGAAGAGCTGGGGATACCAAAATAGAGAAGCTGTTTGAGAGTGGATGTAAAAGTCTCACCTGGGAACTTAATCCCCACCTTGTTCACCTTGTTCCTTACCCTCTGTCTCTCTTTGGAAGGACCATTTTTGTCTGGTTTACAGCTCTGGACCTGAGAACCTGTCACCTACCCAGTAGCCCGTGGGAGTCAGAAGAGAGGCCTTTGCTGTTGGAGATGTAGAACCCCAGGTGGTTCCTCTGATACGGGGCCGGCTTCTTGTAGCGGTGGATGAGGATGACAAAGCTGATGGTGTCTCGTATCGTCACGGTGACGTTGGAGTTGGCAGAGATGGACACCTCGAGGCTCCTGCTTCTCACGACAGCACTCCGACCACAGGACAGGACGAGCCTTTCCCCGTCATCCAGGATGATCCTTCTGGGTGTGATCTCCAGGTAGGATCTCTCTGGCTTGTTGCTGAGGATGGTGATGGTGCTGAAGTAAGTCCGATGCTTCTTGTGGCCATTGGGTGGTGCAGGAGCTCCAATCAGTTGCCCATTCACGGTGACACCTTGCAGGAAAATAATCAGTAAATGAAAGCTGGAACCAAAATAGGTCTGATATCTCAAAACAAAAGCCCCGAGACCAAGAACATGCAGATTCACCACCTCGTGCTCAGTTATTTCACTTACCAGTATTCAGAAGAGCATAACCAGTCTGTTATAAAATTATTACCACATACAGAGCATATGAATTTACCCAAGCTCAGAAATACTGGCCTTCCCTGGAAACAGGTGTCCCCAGGCCCATTAATCCTAACACAGTGTACACAGTGCTACCAGAAGAACCACTCTTGAGTGATCCAAGGTGCAGATCCCACAGAGTCAAATAAGGCCTTGATGTCCACAGGAAGATTCCCAACCATGATTTTTTTTATTTGCTGTCCATCAGATAGTGTCTCACTTCCCACAGGCCTCTGAACAGCTACTGGACAGTAACAATAAAGGAGGAGGCTTGTTGCTAACCCAAGCCAGACCCAACCCATCAACACTGAGATATCTCCACATCCTCTCATTCCTGGTGGGATCTCTCATTTCTATCTTTAAAGACTCAACTTGCAAGTGCTACAGAGTCTCTTTTCCTCAAGCTCATTCTGCATCTGAGCCACAGAAGCATTCAAGCAGTAGCATAAACAATCTGTGAAAGAAGATGAAGGGAAACATTGCCAAGAACTGGATCTCGCTCACTGAGGCAGGCCTGGACACAGAAATATGGAGGTTAGACCATTGCCACACAGAACAGAATTCTTATAACTTTGTTGTGGTGTTTTGTAAAACCAGTCTGTGAATTGTCTCTGGTTTTGACACTCCTTTCTCCCACTGTTGCCCTGCTCAGGACATAATCTGATTATTAGCTGCCCTGCTTAGAATTCCAGATCGGATCAGACCACAATTTGGGCCCCTGAGGATCAGACTGGCTTGGGCAAAGCAGATCCTGAATCATGTGGGTTTTCTTGAGGCTGTCATGATTCAGTAACCAGTTTGGTCATTTCTTTACTGAAGCAGCCTCGGTGCTCAGTGAGTCTGTTAAGGTACTTTGCTCTGTCCTACACCAAGCAGTACTGTAAAGAGCAAACTTCCAATAACAGAGCAATTTTGGTGAATCCAGGTCTTTTATTTGCGTGTTGTGACTTTGTAACTAGAGGACCGATGAAATTGCACCATCAAAGACACTTTTCCTGATTTCCTGTCCCTTTCTTGCCCGGGAAGCACCTTGGTGCTTAGTCTTACTGCTGGAGAGCTGGCCTTGCACTTCAGTTTTTCCCCCACAAGCAACTGCTGGACTTGGCTGCTCACCAGATTCCTTGTGATCAGAGACCAGCCGGAGAATGTCCCCTGGTTCTCCGTCAATATTGAAGCAGACAGAGAACTTGCTGGAGGGAAAGTCAATGACAAAGTGAGGGTCTCCATCCGCTGAGAAAGACATGGAAAAAATGTGAGAGGCTTACACAGAACTGCAACATCCGAGATCGTAACAAGACTGCTTTTTCAAGTGTGTTTGTCCCTGTTTTTTTCCAAGACCTCCTGGTTTGTTGTTTTTAGAGGGTCAGATGGAGTTTGCCAGGAAATGCCAAGTTTCGCTTTGTTGTTCCCAAAGATTGTTTTGTTTTGTTTCTCACAGAAGAGGTTGGTTTTTAAATGAAAACTCAAACCCCAAAACAATTTGGATGAAAATCAGCATACTTTCTTCCTGGAATATAATTTCAGTGATTTATGGGAGTTATCATGCAGGTGTTTTAAACTCCTCTTCTCTTTATTTTCTTGGCAGGCTACATCCCCCACAGCATGAAAATTTTCTAACCAAAGACTGATGGGTGCACCTCACACTGAACCCTCCCAGCCCTCAATATCAGATTAGAGCAGTCAACAGCAGATATTGATCCCACAATCATAATTTTTCAACAATCCTTCACCCCTCATCAACTACCATATAGGTGTCATTAATAAAGCAAGACAAAAAGCTTATTTTTTAAACTAAATTTGACCTTATCAAGTGAAATTCAAGTAAAAATTCTTGATCTGGACTTCTTCTTCAATGTTTAATGTATGAAAAGAATGTAAAGTAGAGGTGCAGAACCAAGAGGAAAATAATAATATACTATAGAATATTCTTTTTTTTTTCCCCTTTAGCAACATTTTTAATGTCTCAGCAACATTACTTTATAAAATGTTTTTGACTAGATCTAGTACAAAGGGAATGTGTTTCCTGTTCTCCCCTAATCTACAGAAGTCTCAGACATGAGAATCAATTGTTGCAGATCATCTGCCTTGCTATGTTTGTTCACTCTCTGTATTTTGGTTTTGTTTTCATTTTCCTCCCTACCCTGTTGGTCTAGCAAACAGGATTTTGGCTGTTCCTTGGGATGGTTATACTACAGTGACATGCATCTGAGGTTTCCATAAGTCAACCACTATTATTTTGCACTATTAAAGGCATAGAAACAAGCACTGACCTGAAGTTTTGGAAATTTTAATTCTTTGTTTATCTTGTACTTGTTTATCTTGCTCTCTGCGTATACCTAGAAGTGGGGGAAGGAAGGCTGTTATGATTATTTTTTCAACAGCAGAAAGAGTTGTAGTATAAAAGTGTTTTCAAAATAATAAATCAGGGACATTATGGGGCATTTAAGCTTCATTTAGAACACAAATTTTTCTTCAATAGTTTCTAGAGCAACAAATGCTTCAAGGGGGTGAGTCAGGTGCCTAAAAGGTTTACTTAAGTTTACTCAGCTCACAATTAGCAAAACTGATATGAAAATCTCAGCTTTACCCCTCAGTTCATTGGTAGGGATCATCCCTGTGCCAAAATCAACCATGAGACATCATCTATGCAAAAAGATTTCTTACCAGCACAAGGGTATTTTTCTCTCGTACCTGGTGGTGCTCTGTGTCCCTGCAAGCTCTGCAGCTTCTCCCCGATTCCATCAGTAGAAGGCCTGATAAACTCCTCCTGAGGTGGTTCTGAATGGAGCCCAGCCTCTCTCATCTTCAGCACGGTGAAGGGAGTAACAAAATTGTAAGCCAGGGCCATGGATTTGGCTTTCTCCATCAAATGGTCTTTTTCCTGACTGTCATCACTCTTCAACCGGGAGTTAAGCAATTCCTTGATGGTGAGGTAACTCCACGCCCTCTCGATGTAATTTTTGTCACCCTTGCCGTCTTCCAGGCCGGGGACACCTCTGATGTCATTCCTGCTCGGCAGGTCAATGGCCACGTCTGTTTTGAGGAGGATGTACTTCTTGGAGTTGCTGGCAGTCACCTCCACGTGGAGCTTGTCTGAGGTGCGGTTGATGAGTTTGCCGGCGATTATAATCTCAGAGCCATTGAAGTAGTTGGGGAAGAAGTTCTGGGTGACCTGCTCCACATCATCCTCAGGGTAATCAACACGGATGTCAGAGAGGAGGGGTGTTCCTATTTCATCATAGAACCTTAAACCAAGACACATTTCTCACTGTCAGTACCATTCATCCAAGTGTATAAACACACTCCTGTATATGGTCAAGGATGCAGTCAGGTTATCTACTATGGCTCCTAAGACACTCAGGGGCAGTTAGAGCTACCAGACATCAAATTTAACTATCACATCCACTGTAACTGGGCCCAGAGAAACAGGGGAGTCTCCACCCTTAGAGATTTTCAAAAATCTTTGTCTGAGTGGACAGAGACCTGAGAAACCTCACCTAAATTTGAAGTTAGCTCTTCTCTGAGTAGGAGGTTAGATTACAGGATATCCAGAGGTTCCTTTCAAATAAAATTATTCTCCGCCTCATTTTAGTTTTCAGTGTTCCTTAGGCATCTAAACAAAATCTCCTAAGTATGCTCAGAAGGATCTCAGCATGGCCTGGCAGTCACTTCCCTTCCACTATGATTCCAGGTCTCTGCAGAGGTATTTGTGACCACTTCAGTTTGCTTAAGAAGACTTGTCCATTGAAAGTAACTTCTTGGATCATGAGGCTCACAGAAAGCACCCCAGTTATTAAAAAATGCACTTCGAAGAGATGCTGTTACCCACAATTTTTTAGTGATATTCTGTTTGGTATGCCAGAGCCAGAAACTGTAAGACCAAAATGTTAAGTCCCCCAAAGCTGGAGAGACTCTAAAGCTTCTGTATCTCTGGAAGACCCCACTAATGCCATATTTTCCATTTAAGCGCCAGACTGCTCATCTCTTGGCAAGTCATTTGAGTTTAATTTGGTAAATAAACAAAGAGTTGGCCTCGGCCCTTTTTTTAGTTCAAGCTGCATTTATTTTACACATCTGGTTAAACAGATTGTCTGGAAGCTAAAGTCACACTTTGTGCTTTATTCTCTCTCCAAGGGAACCCAGAGCCTGAATTGCTTGACTTTGTTTTAAAGTCTGCCTGAGAACTCGGTGTCTTTGATGCAGAGACATCGCCAGATTTAAAAACACAAGTGAATTAAACCTGAGAACTCTCTTGAGAAGTATCTTCCAGGTTGTAACAAATGGTGGAGAGATACAACCTGTCTCACAGTAAGATTCAAGGAAGTATCTGTATAAAAATACAATTCACTGGCCACAAAAATCAGAAATTATGTTGGCACCCATGGAGCTTTTCCCTCCAACAGAGGTTTGAATTGGCCTCCAGCAGTGACTGTGCTTTTCTGTATAAATTTGGCACCTGATGCCAAATGGCTCTGCCATCACTGAGCTTAATAAACAGTGAGCTGCTTATCAGATAGAAGTGTTTGAACAAGTACCTTCTATGCTGGGTTACCACAGCCCAGTCAATCAGAAACTCCTTTATTTGACAGGGAATGCCACTTGCTATCCAAAATACATGTTCTGAGGAGGAAATCACATGGGTGGAGTGGCAGATGGATCTACAGAATTTGGTTTAAAATGAACCCTTGTCCACACATAACCACCAGAGAAAGCAAACCTCTAGTGGAAGCTGCGTGGTCTCATTGCTCCAGATGAATTAGGCACAAGATAGGACAGAGGTCCCAGCTCAGTGTCTGGGTTTGGTTTCTGAAGTTCAAAACACTAACAGTTTGGGAGTGAAAGCCAAACATTTTTGTTTGGAAATGCTGACAGACTGCCTGACATTTTAGTCAGAGCTGTGGTTCAGGTATCTTTCTGCTGTTCCTCACAGGGGTCTCCCCTTGGACTACAGCTCCTCGATCACAGAAGAGGAGCACAATCTCTGGTCCTGCTGGATAATGAGGATTACAAGAAACTTACAAGGAGCTGGGTCATAAAGAATGAGGGAATTAAGTGACTTTATGATCATCCCAGGAATGACCTTTATGTGTTGTTCAAAGCTGAATATTTTGGAGTTTGGGTAAAAGGTTATAATTTTCAAATAATAAAGAAATAATTTTCTGCCCCAAGTTGGGATCTTCATTCCTGATCCACTTCATGCTGTTTGTGTTGTCAGTTTGAAGTGAGCAATGCAACCTTTCCTCCAACCATCTACCTGTGGAGAATTGGCCCTCATGCCTCTCAGTTCTCCAGGTTTACATACCCAAAACAATGATCTGAATTAAAGAAACAAATGCCTTGTTCTCAGGGGCTGGGAAGCTCCAGTACAACTGAAGGGATGTGCTAGGAAGGAGACAATTTCTCGGTAGGCATCCTCAGTATCTGAGCATAATCAGCCTCTCCCTAACAGAGTTGAGCCTGAGGGAAACTCTCATTTCTTGCTATGCCTCCTAAGGGGATTTTCCATCCCAAAACCCTTGCCAGAGGACCCAATGCAGACATAAGCTCAGAGAGAGCACAACGAACCCTTTGAGGTGGCTGGCTGCATCCTCATCCTCCTGGAAATGCCTCGTCATTCCGCAGTTCTCCAGTGCCATCCTCTCCAGCAGCTTGTGGTCCACGTCGTTGCCAATGCCGATGGTGAAAAGGCAGAATTTGTCACGGACGGCGTCCTTGGTGTTGCTGAGGATTTTGGATGACTGTGTTTCCCCAACAGTTGGCCTCCCATCCGTGAGGAAGATGATCAGAGAGACGCTCCTGGCATCGATGTCGTTCTGAGCAATGTAGTCGTTGAGCAGCTTTGCACCAGTCTGGAGAGCTCCATTAATATTAGTCCCTAGGAAGGCACCAAAATTTTTAGGTCATTTCTCCTTCTAAGAGTGGTGAGAATAATTTCCCTAAGCTCCCTTTATTGTGGTGACAGCATCTCTGTACATCAGGATGTTTCTCTTCTCCACATGAGGTTGCACTACCCCTTTAATTCAGCTCAGCTCTGTTACTCAGCACCAGTTTGGAACAGCTGTTTATGGTCTTATGAATTGAAATATGAATTTCAGTTCATCATGTGAAATCACTGTATCCTTGAATGCTCAATGTACAGAAACCAGCCATGGTATACAGAGTCACAGCACATCCCATGCCTGGCTGGTACAAACAAATATGGTTAAACTTAATTATGGGATTCTCCCAGATGACATCCGAACTAGGAAAACAAGTTCTTCTTGCTTTGTCTGAAGGGCACAATATTTGGAGACAGGGAAAACGCCTTCAAATGGGAAAACAAGTGGTTGGGTTTGTTCTTTGCACCCCAGGGGATACAAAGTTTAAAGGGAAGAGAAATGGCTTGGTTAGCTGAGGAGTGTGATTGCACAAAACAACTGGCTAGCGAAGAATAGAGCTGCCTGAAGTGGGGAGGGAGGGACAAAACAGAAAGTAAATGAGGAAACAGGTGTATATTAGAAGAATAGCCATGAAAATGATCCAAGCCTACTGTGTACTCAAAAAAAAGCAAGAAAAATGAGTACAGTATCCCTTTTCTCCATGTATTTCTTGTGCGAGTCAATTGGTTGTGGGAGCTTTGCAGGTGAAATGGATTAAAAGCCAAAAAACAACAGACTCCTGGGAGTCAAGAAGGGGAGATCTAGAAAGGTTATTAGCAAGGCTATGCCAGCAGGTCTGACCAGGCAAGACATACCTGGAAACTTAGTGTGCACAGCCCCAGTGACTGCAGAAATGGGAAAGGGGCAACGACTTCTGAAAAGTCCTCAAAATCCTGACTGTATCTTTTGCAAAATGGTTTTGAACCAAAAATCTGCACCTGAGTATCCTAACACTCGCTCAGTCCCCATCCAGATCCAAAATTTCAGAAAGAATTTTTTCCCCAAACCAAAACCATTCCATGTAGCAGAGCGTGTCATTTCAAACTCAGTCATATCACAGAGCTATCAAGCACTGAAAACTGCCTTTTGCCACATGATCGGGTGTTTAGCAGCAGTATTTCCCCCCCCCATTTCTCTGGTGTATGAATACACAGAAGTGTAACCACACCACGTTCATTGTGTGAGCGTGATCTGTGAGCTCGAGTGTGTTCATGTTCACTGGGAGATACTTAAGCAACAGCACCTTTATAGGGAAAATGCAGAGTTAGCCAAAACTAAAGTACCACTGGCCTGTGGTGGAGAATCACTGCACCTTCCTGTTGAACCAGAGTTAATCATTTCCCTTTACTTTTGTTCTCTGGCAGGTTCGTGGGCAAACTCAGCTGGTTCCTGCACAGCTCTTTTGGCACTTCAGGAGTAAAAGGCTTTGTTCTCTGAGTTTAGTCCCACTCTTGGTAATTGTTTAACTGGGCCGCTTCCTAAACTCTTCCTCTCACAACACAAACAGCACGGCCAACCATCCTGTTTGCCACGTTTTTCCATCAGAGGGTTTCCTTTGCTAGGAGTGGTCACTGCTCAGGGTCAGCCATCAGAAGGCCCTGCCTGACCTCCAACCAGGTGGGACTGCTGGCACGGGGAAGGGTTGTTGGATTACAAACTTCATTATAGTTTTTTTACGCTACTGTCCGTAGCCTCGCAGGAGACCTCTGAATTAAATCAAAAATCATGCCTGCACTCTGCCACTGTTCTGGGGTCTCCTCCTCTTCCCTCAGGCAACAAGACACAAGCAAAATGGGACAAGAAATTCTTAAACATCATTTTGGCTGCTCCTTGGTAGAGACAAGAGGACAGTACTAGGTGAGACACTAAGTACTGCAGAAGGCAATTCCACAGTCCCTGCTGGGTACTCCGTCCCTGGAGTTTCCAGCCCAGACAAAACCGTGTGCCTGATTTTACACAGGCTTTCAGAAACTGCACAAGTACTGGCCCTGTGTATCCTTCACCAGGATATGTGGTTTTTTTCCTGTGTCCTCAAGAGATAACCTTGGAAGCTTTCCCAATTCAAGGGTCTCATCAGATAAAAAAGAGAATGGAGTCCACTTGGCTTTAATAAGTATATAGAATCATAGAATAATTTGGGTTGGAAGGTCATTTAGTCCCACACCCCTGCAGTGGCAGGATCTGAGGAAACCTTCCCATCATGTGCATTAATAAAGAGCACATAACCTCTGTCACATAACCCTGAGTGGAGGTGCAGAAGGAACCCCCTGGTCCTATGACCTAAATCCCAATGTCTGTTTATTACTCCATGCTACAGGACCACACTGACCACTCTCCGTTCTCCTGTAGCTAATGGATAACAACATTAATCCTGTTCATATCTGGATCTTACCTCCAGTAGGTGACATGTTATGAATGTACTTTTTGGCATCTCTGATGTTGTTTGGAGTAACCGGCACCAGCCGGTCCTGCTGCCACACCTTTATCCGGTTGGAAAAGCCAATGATGTTGAAGTGGTCTTCAGGCCTTAGGTCCTGGAGGATTGTGAAGAGAGCTTCTTTGGTCTAGAAAGAGAAAGAAAAGAGACCAGTAGACACAACTGTCAGTGTTTTAGTGGGCAAGAAGTGAATTTTAAGACGTTTACTGAACTTACAGATATTTCTACGCTGCCAGTTGAATGGCGAAGGAAACTGGGATGTCCTTCCCTGTCTCAAGGCCTGATATCTGTGGTGCCAGATGCTAGGCCAATATGAGATGAAAGAACAACACTTGCCCAAAAGGTCTTGCAAAGCTGTGAGGCACATCTAGACCTAACTAAGCTTTAAAATCACTCATGACAATTAGGATAAAAGCTCCCAGTGACAGGGAGAACCATGTTCTGTATTAAGGGATAGTGATTAATAATGACTAATAACAAAAACTCATTAGAGCTTGTCTAAAGCCCTCTAGACTTGCAGTAAGCTGCAAATGGCATATAGTTAAAACAGGTTGCTTATAAGTTGAAATATCTCTAAATATGTCAAGGATGCACATGCTCTGTTCATAATTAGGGTACTGATCGCTATATACATACTCTAATGAATAGTTTCAGCAATTAATAAATGTTTAAGGTAATGTATTCAGATGAATTAGATAGAAAAAGAAGCCCTGACTAGGCATTGCAGATTCTACCTAAGCCAAGAGGAAAAGTGCAGGGTTGTCCAGTTCTCCCCAGTGTAACCAGCTTTGATTCAGCAGCCATGCAGCTGTGTTCACATGGAGACAGACCTCAGCTTAGTAAGACTGAGAGAAGATGCCCAAAAGCATTCTCTGTCCATGCAAACATGCCCTATATTTGGATGCAAAACACATGGGAGGAATATGAGGCAATATCTGTAAGTAGAGGGATCAGCAGATTCTCGGCTCAGCCCCTTCTTGGCCACCATTAAGCCTTTTGAATTCCAAGGAAAGCTCTGCAGGAAATAATATGGTGGGCTCACCAGCATTTAAAGTTTTCTCTCATGCCTGTCAGGAAAATATGTGAAGGGCTTGTCCAGAAAAAATAGAAAACTAATCAGCAGTGCTGGAAATCAGATACTTCTAGGCCTGATGTTTCTATGTAAAGACAGTTTGGAAAGGAACTCAAAGGCCCGATCAGGCTGTGTCATCAGCATCCCTCTGGATTCTGCATGGAAGATGATGATGCAATGATGCAACTGCAAACAAACCTAATCCTCACAGCTGGTGACTTGGCTTCCAGTCCCTCTGAAGTTAAGGGGAATATTTCCCATAGCTTCAAACATTCTGGAGCCAGGTCTGGAGTCCCTCCCTGCCTGTTTCTGTCCTCCGTACAAACCATTTTCCTCCATAGGGATCTAAGGATTCATCCCTCCATTTGCTTAGCTGGAACATCCCTCCACGTCCCACTGCCCTTTCACAGATCAGGATACTGAAGTAAATGCTGGTGGAAGTGGCTCCTTCAAAGAGAAGGAGAAAAGCCCACTAGATTCACATCATGAGGTGCACCAAACAAACCTTCACAAAGATGAATACCTGCCCCAAAAATGGGTGCTGTCTCCAGTCTAACAGTCCAGAGAGAGGTGGCTAAGATGGGCTAAATAACAGTTATTTGAAAAAGAAGGGAAAGTTTTATGCCCTCCCACCTCCTCTCTTAAAACAGCCTTTGTGTTGTAAAAATGCATCAGATAATACACAAACATCACCTTTCAGAGGGACCTTCAAACACTCACAGTCCCATTTTACAAAGAGAAAAAGCAAGGCACATATTACTTTAGTAATTGTGTCAAGGTCAAAAATTGAGGGCTTTCCAAAACTTGGGGTTTCCAGCTCTCAGTGCAGTCAGCCAAACCACCTCATACACGTGTAGAAAGGCAAAGCAGCAATCACACAGTGGAGGAAAGGACTCTTGGATTTATTCCATGATAACAAGTTCAGGCCATGCATTTGTCCCTCAAAAAATGGATTAAAGCAGAAGGTGAAAATGGAGAACCTTCTATCCTGTGTGAGTGTGATCAAGCCTCCATGCCAACTTCTGCTGAAGGAAATTTGGGCAGGGCGTTAAAGCAAGGAACAGTGAGACCACAACAGCTCCCTACGTACAACACCCCCCCTCTTCTCCCACCAAGGGAGGCAAAGGAGAGAAACAGAGGTGCCTGGAAGCAATGATTTAGAGGAAACCCCCCCAAATCTCATTATCTATATTGCAGCTCTGATTCTAATTAACAGTGCTTGACCTTTCCCATTACGAAAACCCTCTTTTCTGCTTTTTTTGTAATTCTGTTAAATTGCACTTTTCTCAAAGGGATTTATTGAGCCCAAAAAGCTCTGCTGTTTATGAGAACAAGGAAAGAAGAAAAATAATCTTGCTTTGGCCTACTTGCAGAGAGGCTGCATCTCACTTCCCTAGTGCTCACAAATTCCTTTTGACATGCTTGCCTGTGTTCAGCCAAAAGAAAATGAAAAGAAATGGTGAAACAACACAGAGTAGCAGCATAGTTTGATGTACACAGCATCCAAGCTAGAATTGCAAACAGGATCAGGAGGGAACTGGAACAGACATTCCTAGAAACCCCAGCACTTCCACATACCCTCACACAGGGGCCAAACGTGGGGCTGGGACCACCTCTCTCTCCCCTTCTTTCATTCTCTCTTTCCTTTTCGTCTCATTTTTGTCACAGTTAAGTCATCTCCATAGAGTTTGTGTCAGTTTTTCCCTGGAAACACTTCTGTCATATTTCAATGGACATGCACTGACAGCCTGGATTCTGGCATCTCTATCCTCTGCTTGCCTCAGCAACTTCAATAAAAAAAATCTTTAAATTTATGTAATATGCATACAAACATATGTACAAGTATGTGTGTGCACACATGGTTTTGCTCCAAAGCAAACAGAGTGAGGGAGGCCATATGGTTCATTCTTCTGTAGTTTTTACTTCATCCCCAGTAAAAATAAAGGGTGGGATTCAGCTTTCCCAACTCAGCCATCAGAAAGCTGGGCATCACTTCTAATCCTGCTGTAAGCAGGGGAATTCACCTCCAGAGAATAATCCATCCCATCTGTTTTGGACAGGTTTTAGGATGGGCTGAGTCACTGTCTGGAGGTGTCGGTCTCCCAGCATTGCCTCCAAGAGCCTGAGTGGTTCAACACAGAGAAGGTGGGACTCACCTCGAGACCTAATCCTGCCCACTCCTGAGCATTATATTGCTCACTGGACCCAAAAGGAGCTGAACTGGCTCTCCAGCTGTCTCAGAGTGCTTTGAATTCCCTGGCTCCTCCTGTTTCCATCTCTCCTCCCAGCCCATAAGGACTCCCAGGTATATCCTAAAGACTGCAGTCCTCACAGGGTGGTAACATCACACTTTGCTACCAATATTGCTCACCCACAGATGGTTTATGAGAGAGACGTGACTTCCCTCGGGAGTGCTGGATATGATTCAGGAGCTGGCAGGCAAAACTGACTTTTAATAAGGAGAATATCTTGGTAAAAGTGCACTGCTTGAAATCCTTAAGTTTGCAGCCGTGACTGATTGCAGTGTCCAGCCCTCTCCTCCTGCCTCCACCAGACCCCAGACCAGGATTTGCAAAGCTCTTCGTGCAGACTGTGCCTGGCAGCAGCTCCAGTCAGGACACGGCAGCAGGTTTCTCGTTCTGGCCTTGTAAGGCCACAGCTGGAATTTCTCCTGGCTCCGAGGAGGCAAGGGCTGAGGCTGCCGTGGGATTCCCAAGCTGCTCTGCTGCCGATGGGGTCCTTGCACTTCCACTCCCCCCTGGCCCCAGTGAGTCATCCCACTGAAACTCCTGCCAAAGAGGCAGAAAATTAACCATTTCTTCCCTGCTGTGGGCCAGGTTGTTCCTCCACGGCTGTGCATATGACACTGGTTCATTTTGGAGATAAGCTGGGCACAGATCTGACCCAAGTACGCTGAGGAAAACAAGTTTAGGGGTCTAGTGCCCTTGTGCCAGGTGCTGCAAGGGGAAATACTTCTCCAAACGTGTTTGCCTGCAGGGTGGAGCAAGGATTAAAAAAGAAGATGGCAAGAAGTAACAATACAGAACTGCTGAATAAAAATCCATTTTTGCCAGTTGGGGATGGTTTGTAGCAGTCAGAGTCAAGTTTTAAATGAGGATTTAAAAGAGGATGACTTGATGGGGCAAGATTCCTGTGTTTCCCTCAAATTAGCACGGATGAAATTGAGTTGAGAGGTGGAGGCTGAGTTGCTGCTGCATTTGAGCTGAGAAACCAGGCTGGTGAATGAGCTGTCAGCTCTGCTGGGATCTAGGGAGAGAAACAACCACCTCCAGGGCTACAAAATATCATCACAAAACCTGGAGCAGAACAACCCTGGTCCCCCAGCTGGGGACAGGTGATGGTCACAGTTCATGTCTGTGCTTCATGGATGAAGAGAAGCTGAAGATGAGCTCACACTACCCAAACAACTGATGTGCAAACGGTGTCTACTCAAGCCTACAAGGCCAGAGACAAGCCAGCTCCCAGTCACCATGCTGGGCTTTGTTGTCACCTCCACAGCAACACCTGGACATGGAACACAACTGCTGCTTTTCTGGTTCAGGCTTGCTAAGGGCCCTGCATCACAGCCGAGAAGATTTGGGATTGTACAACCCCCAACAGGAAGAGCAGAACTCCCTCAGCTACCCTCTGGTTTGTCTGTGATTTGTCACATTTGTACCTGGCCCTTGGAGTTAGCTCTGACAGACCTCACTTTGCTTGAACAGAAAGCATGAGAAGTTACACACTACCATGGGAGAGCTGAGAGCCTTCAGCCCTTTCTTGAGTCAAAGATCTGCCTCAGAGACATCTGGGATGATGTCAGACCATCTGGGCACCTTTTAGGAGGAATCTGAGTCCTGGTGACATTTCTCTCACAGTCTCTTGTTTGTTTGGGGAGCAGGGTGAGGGTGAAGCCTGGATACCCTGAAAGCTGTGCAGCTCAAAGGGAGACAATATGTGGTTGTTAGAGGCTGTGGGGCTGCCAGACATTGGCCCTGCTACGAAGCAAGGGGAGGATTCAAACACCTCATTAAAATGCATATCCCAGGCCCACA